TAAATTAAAACTAGAAAGGACCACAATGCAATAGGTGGATTAATTTGGAAAGCATCAATTACGGTCAAGATAGTTTACCGAGTATCTTGACATTACCTCCAAAAACCCATATAATTTCTCTCTTTCCTTTCTGAAAAATCTTTTAATGCTCTCATGTTTCCTACAAATTTTGTATCCTCAAATCAATTAATCAACAAAAGAGAAAGAAACGAGACCACAAATCGATCTCCTTACCTCGCATGCGTAATTCAAAGACACAAATCGACTTTTTTTTTGTGTTTTTATGAAACAGATCGTGATGTGAAAATCCTTTTATTTTGGTATTGAATAATTGTTATGCACGAGACATGTTGGGGATGAAATATTTGGACGAAAATCGCGGCGGTTAGAATACGCCACCTTTTAGAGCAGTGCCAACATGATGTCCTCATGCTTGCTGTCAACTATCAAAGCTCATGGCTGCAACGGCTAGAAAAGCAAATTTGATGAGTTGGTTGAAGACAAAGGTGTGAAGATTTTGATTGATCCGAAGGCCCTCATGCATGTCATAGCAACCAAGATGGATTTTGTTAACAACAAACTCAGATCGGAGTTCATATTCATCAACCCAAATTCTAAAAGGCAGTGTGGCTGTGGAGAATCTTTTATGATAGTGAGCAACTCGGATGCAGCTAAGCACAGTGCTGAATCGAGAACATTTCTAATTTATAAGGATTTCAGTTTCTGAAAATGCTAGAAAAACAATTCGGTATGTATTTTGGGAGTTTTAATTTGGTCTTATTACAATAAAGTGTATGCCAGATGTTCTTATCTACTTTGGTGATGTAAATTTTGTTGGTGAATTCGCTTCATTACATCCATAATGTAGATAAATGAAACAAGAAATTTCCTCACTTTATTTCTGCCAACTGATTAATTTTTCCCGATGATGTTTTTGGTCATATTTTATATTGACTTTTCTAAAAAAAAGGGCATGATGCCTTTCTTCATTAAGATCTAGTATAACATAAATCCTACATTTTCACATCCCGAACGATATTATTGAATGTAATGTATATGTTTACTATGGAATCAAATATATATTATTATTTACACCCTGGACTACCAAAATGTAATGCTCCAAAATGACAAGTAGAATGTGTATTCTTATCTTCTTTTTTAATACAGCATGAGCACCAATCGAATATGTCATTTTAGGTTGCATTGATCATATTATTAGATGAATTTAAATATACAAATTGCACACATAGGTGGCACTCATGTTTGCGATCTGATATATTGCATTGAACTCCCATAGAATTCTTATTTCACGTAACGTAATGGGTTGTTGAAGATGCAACATTGAGCACGGTTGTGAAAGTTGCAAAAGTAAATCACTGTAATGGAGAAAGTTACGAACAACAACAAGCTCAAACATGATAGAAGTGCACAAAATAATGTCTCTCATGTAATATTTCATTTCAATAGTCCAAAATATCCCATCAGAAAGAATACATATATGTATACATTCCAGTTATATATCAGGTCAGAAAATGGACAAGTTGTACTTCTGCTTCTTATGAGGGAGAATGTATACAATATGTAATGTGAATAAGTTTTTCCTGGAGCAACAACCTATGACGGAAAATTGGGGATATTCACCACATCTGGGAACCCTTGCGTCTCTAAACAACCCACCACATGTGGAATATAAATAAAAGCCATATTTTCCCTTCACTTGGTTCATATAGTTCGCAGTATACAACTACACAGCAAGAGCATCAAATGATAATTGCATTACTCATCCAGACTTCTTACTATAACCACGGCTACCCGCTACTGGCTTTATCTTTTACTCCGTGGGACCATCAAGGACGTAATTGATATCATAACCACCTTTAATTTCCATTATCCGGCCTCCAATTTCGCAGGATTTGAGGAAATCGTATGGTGTATTTTTAACCGATACCTTCCCACACAGTGAGGATGCTTTTGTTTACACTTTACAGCCGTGATGTGAGTCGTAAATATTTGAAGTTCATCATAAAGGATAGTGCCACTGTTTTGACCACCAAGATTCCAGTGGATGTGTTGAGCAAGGTTAACCGGAGTGGCCCTGTTCAAAGCTTCTGACTTCACTGCTACACTAATTACAGCAAAAATGTAATTCAATCCATAATAATTTATTTCCAGTTCATCCATATCGTTGTTAGCATTCAATTCCAATGACAGCATGTCCAGTAGATCTTGGTAAGTGCTATTCATTGGCACGAGAATGCCAAAAGTGTTTGACTCGCTTATGACCAATACGCAGATTCTATTGTCTGAAACAATACAAGACAAAACAAAAATAAATAAATACAAAAGATGTAGCAAATGTCATGAACGTATTACGTAACATGCCACATATGTGATTATTACATATCATGCCCACGTATCTTATTAGGTCGGATTCATTTTTGAAAAATATTGGTTTCATCAGAAAGAAATAACATATCAGTTTGCTGAAATTTTTTGGTTCATCTACGGATCACTCGAGAATGTAACCAATATACACATTTTGCACTAGATCTCACGACTTCGAGAATAGATTTATAATTCACAGACCAGTAATCTGACTTGTGTAAATAAAAAAAGGACATTTGATTACGTTTTCAGTTTTATCATAATGAGAACGATGACATTACCCAGCTGTTCATTCTGTAAATGCTCTTTTTGGCGTCACAAAACTAGGAGGAAGTCAGCAATATTGTCGGAAAGTGTAGATCCTCAACGAGCGACAAATCATTGTAATGAGAGATTTATGAAGCATCATACTCATTATTCCATGTCTTGAATTTAGGTAGTGTTTGATAACCTCCAATTCCATGGAAAATGGAAATTCATTTCCACCTTTTGCCGAAAATGAGTGTTTGATAGGTAAAAAATTCTAGGGAATTCATTTTCCATGATTCTTGCCACCTAAGTAATTTTCCCACTTTTCCTTGAATTGGAATTCCAATTCTGGTTTGCTGTAGTGGAATTTTTATATATATATATATATTTTGGCAGTGAAAACAAATTTTAAGAATAATTGTAAAAAAAATATTCTCCTTTAATTGGTAATTTTCATGTAAAATAAAGTTAAACGAATACCAAAAGATAGATGATTTTCTTGAATTTTTTTTTTGATTGGCAATGGAAACAAATTTTATCCTCAATACTAGTAAAATCTATCTCTTTAATTGATAATTTTCATATGAAATAAAGTTAAACGAACACCAAAAATACTTTTAGTTCAACATTTTCCAATTGAAAAATTATACCAATCAAACACAATAATTTACAATTACCAGGAAAATAATTTCTAGGCAATTCAATTCCCTGAAATTCGTTTTCAATTCAATTCAATTCCATCTTTGCAATCAAACGGACCCTTAGATGTAATTCCTAGTAAGGCAGCCAGCTGTAATTTCATTCCCAGAAAATCAGCAATCCACTATTTTCGTCTGTTACGTTTTTGTGCATATGGAAGGTTTTAGTGGAATTGGTTTTGGCGATTTTATGTGATAATTGCAGTATATTTTATATTTCTGAGTATTTTAGGTAATTTCGGAATTATTACAAATTTCCAAGGCATTTGAGATTTTTTCCCATAAAACAAAACAAACAGAGAGTCGAGCGGAATGGCCCCTTGTCAATTTTATTTATTTATTTTTTTCTATTTTTCTTATATACCAACTCCATTACTTATCCGGAGAATGATGGTTCCTCCTGCCTCCATTGACCTGCGACCCCATGGGCCAACACGAGAATTCAAAATAACTAATTATTTAATACCTTAATCAATTAAAATTAAGATGATAAATACTATATATATACAAATTTCCTTAATAATTCAATTGATAGAATCTTTAAAGAGGGCCCGAAATTCTTATCAATACAGTCACCATCAAACGCTTATTCAAATTCTCATCAGAAAGTCACCCACTTCATCCAATAAGTAACGCCAAAACTTGATATTTTCATTTCTTTGAAATTTTTTTAATGAAATTTTCCTCTGATAAGACAAAAACTGAAAGGAATCGACTTTTCTTTTAGTGATGGAAGTCTTATCATTAAGCCAAGAAATCTTCTGAAAACTTCAAGTTCCATGTTCTTCCTTTGAAGATGGTGCAAAGAAAGGTGATCAACAAGCTTGGAATTAGATTCCAAGCTGATGGTGATCAATTGCAGCAACAGGATGGGAAGAATCGAGGAAAAGATTTGAAGAAGAAAATGAAAAAATCAGGATCAATGAAGCGTCAAGATTTTGAAAAATGTCGTTTGCCCAATATGGGAAGGCAAGAGCGGCAGCCCGGAAGACCTCCGCCGCCTGTAGCAACGCCGCAGAAGCAGCCAGGCGCCGCCGCGGTAGAGATATCGACGCCGACGCCGAATTACATGAAGTCCACCAGCAGTTCTGAGGCAAGAAAGGAGCGGTCCCAGGTGAGTTCTCCCGGAAGTTCTAAAACTAGTCCTGAGAGTATAAATTCACGAAGAAAAAGTTCAGGCTCATTAAGAATGTTATCTAGGATTTTGCCAAAAACTCCTAGCTTTAAACCCTCAAGATCATCTTCAAATAAATGTTCCCCGGTTGTGTTGTGTGAAAATTTAGATCTTAAAAGATCAACATGTTCATCAACTTTGAAGGATTATAAGTTTCCCAGTTACCTCAGTCTTAATCCTGGAGGAACAGAATCAGAGGGGACCTCTGTAATGAAGGTCTGTTCGTATAATTATTGCTCTTTAAATGGTCATAAGCATGCTTCTGTGCCGCCTTTGAAAAAGTTCTTGTCTGCGAGAAGGCTTATGATCAGGACCCAAAGGGGCTCAAAGCTGGGGTGTTTATCACCAAGGCGACCAAGTCCTGGAGATGGTGTGAATATCGATAGGGAAGTTCTTAGTCGAGATGAATTGGATAGCTTAACAGTTAGTCCTCTGATTCAAGAAGAGGATGGGGATTTCTATGTTGAAATCTATGGTGTAAAGAAGGAAGATGGTGGTGAGCAAACCGGGGTTGATCAGAGTGCAATTGATGAAAAGGAAGACGAAAAACTTAATACTGACAGCGATTCTGGTGAAAATTTTGATCAAAATGGAACTGATGCTGCTGTCTTTCCTGAAGAAATTGGAGTGGTGGAGGACATCAACATACCTTCCGTGGCTGAAGAGGATACAAATCTTGGATGCTTGAAGGTCCAGACTGAGATCACGAGAGAGAATGTACAAAGTGTTCAATCAGATGAACTTGATTCTGATGCTTCGGATATGGATTGGGAGGCAGGGGAATACTCTGCTTTCTATCTTGATGATGATGTTCGTGATTATTCACTAGAAGGCGGAAAAGAATGTGACCGGAAAGGAGTAGAGTCATCTCAAGTTGATAGCTGCATCATTCGTGAAGAAGCGATTTTCAATCTAGATGAAAATGTTAGCAGCTGCTTTGATGAAATTCCTGCAGATGAAGAAAGCTGGAGCTCTGACTCGACAGGGTCATATGAATTCCGGGACAACTTCAACATTGAGATTACTTCTTTTCTTTTTGAGGATCAAATGGGAAATCTGGAGGCAGCAAAAGAAGATAAGAATAATATTGTGTCTTCGGACCTGGATGGTGATGAAGAGAAACGGATGTTAGAAGATGGAACTTCAATTCATGAAGATGAGGGTTCTGATGTTCCTGATAGTGTCAGCACCGGAAATCTGAATGAGAAGTACGAGCACGATGTTGGCGGCCTTTCTGATACTGCTAACATATATCCACTCGACAGGGAGGCATTTGATGGAGGCACTCTTCCTATTTGTAAAGATCCAGAAATGGATCAGTACTGTAATAGTCGGGCAAAACTTTCAAGCTCTGATAACGACGATGGGGTAGATGTGAAAGACCAATCTGATGCTGCAAAGTTGACTGGGATAAAAGCATCTGATGAGGAATCTCAGACTAGAAATGTGGAATATCAGGGCCACTTGGTTAATCATTGTAATGAAGCTGATAATTTCGCTGAATTAGTTCCCATAGATCCCCAAAAAGGGTCTTGTTTAGGCATGCCTGAGCTCAATACGGCTGAAAATGGAGATCACATAGTTCAAACAAATTCAACCACGGCAGAAAAAAAAGACACCTGCTTGACAAGGACTACATTAACGGAATCAGATAATGCATTTGACGCCTGCAAAAACCTAAAAACAACAACCAGATGCAAGAGACGCGTCGATGAGTATGACAAATCAAGACAATTCAATCCACGAGATCCAAACTTTCTACCAGTTGAACCTGATCCGGAGGCCGAAAAGGTTGATCTTAAGCATCAGATGACGGACGAAAGGAAAAATTCTGAAGAATGGATGCTTGACTATGCACTCAGACAAGCAGTCACAACACTCGCTCCAGCTCGCAAGAGAAAAGTTGCATTGCTGGTTGAAGCTTTCGAAAAAGTCTTGCCAAGTGAACCTCACCGGGCGCATAGCTCAGAAGCATTAGGCCATACTAGACCAATCCAAGCATGCAGATGAAACCAGTTGCAGGTGAAATTGTGAATTATCATTTCATGTTTATCTTTAAAAGAAAAACAAGTTTACACAAAACTAGTCTCACATATAACATTCCTTTATCATTTGTAATGCAGCTGATATGAAGAAGGAGCTCAGTTGAGCTATAGATGTCAGCCAGCATAGAAGTATTCATCTGACATAGCTAAGTTCAATCTTCCAAGAGAGCCTGGAAACTAGAAAGTGA